CTGACATACTGGATTTATTGATAAATCTTTAAATTTTTCTGTTATTTCATTTAAAGACTGTTGACGGTCTTCTTTAATGATTTTTATAAGATGTCTAACATCTCTTTCTGTTAATTTTGGTGGCCTGCCTGGTTGTGGAATTGTTTTTAGTTTCAAAATGATTGTATGATCTATTTTTAGAAATGATATGCATCTGCAATGATCGACTAAGCAACCTATGTAGTCCGTGCACGCATGATTCGAACATTATAGAACTCATTATTTAGGTATGTAATATATTTTTTATGTAAATAAGAATAGATCGTTTTTCAGAATGAAATATTATTTATTGATAAAATCTAAATCGTTATTATGTGATAATGATACAGATTTTCTATATTGATGTTATTATGTCGAAGAATCAACCAGCCGAATCTGTTAGTGGGAAATCTAAGAGGGATGGTAAAACCAAGGTTTGTTTTATCCTGCTGGACTCGAAATATAATTCGTTTATTATTTAATAGTCACCAACTTTCAAAGTTATTATTTAAGGGAGAACCTAAAATATTAGAACCTCTTACCATTGAGTCTGTTGCTCATCTTATTAAAACCGAAAAAGGTATTTTGTTTATATAACCGGCTAATTGAAATTTTATCGGATTATAGATTAATCAATTTGTATTAAATAAAATATTTTAGCGAGACAAATTGTTGTAATGGCTGGTGCTGGTATTTCCACAGCTGCTGGTATACCCGACTTTCGTTCACCTGGTACTGGTCTTTATGATAATCTTCAAAAATATGATTTACCCTATCCAGAAGCTATCTTTGATATCAGCTTTTTCAAAGTAAATATTTAGTTTTGAACTATTTTGAATTATAATTAGAAAGTATTTAATTTAACATTATTAATAGGAGAATCCAGAACCATTTTTCGCATTGGCAAAAGAATTGTATCCTGGAAAATTCTTGGTAATTATTTTTCATTTCTAAAATAACCTAAAAAGATTATCTATTTAAGCTTATAACAGTACAACAAACAATCTTTCTTTTTTTCTTTCTTAGCCTACCTTGACACATTATTTCATAGCACTTTTACATCGTAAAAAAATTTTACGACGTTGTTTCACACAAAATATTGATACATTAGAAAGACTTGCAGGATTATCAGATGATATGATCGTAGAAGCTCATGGGTCTTTTGCTAAATCGAAATGTTTAAAATGTAATAAGTTAGCTGATGCTAAATGGATGAAAGATATAGTTTATAAAGGCGAAGTACCTAAATGTGATTCATGTAAAGTTGGTATTGTTAAACCTTGCATCACTTTCTTTGGTGAATCTTTACCTGCCAATTTTTTTCAAAGGATTAATGTAAGCATACATTCAAGTTAAAAATATTGTGGATAGTCTTGATTATATCAAAGATTAATCCAATTATTTTGATTATTTAGGATTTTACTAGATGTGATCTGCTTATTGTTATTGGAACTTCTTTGCAAGTTCAACCTTTTGCTAGTTTGCTTGATGCCGTTGGATCAAAGACTCCCCGTTTATTAATCAATCTTGAAAAAGTCGGAGTTGTAAGTAAAAATTTTTTATTTATTAATTGTATACATATTTATATTGTATATTTAAATTTTTATCCGAAACTTTCTAATATTATAAGTTGAAATTGATTTTTTATAGTTTGGACTACAAGATATGGGATTTGATTTTGATGGGGAACATCAAAAATATCGTAGAGATGCTTTTTATAGGGGAACTTGTGATGATGGTGTGATGAAATTAGCAGAATTATGTGGATGGAAAGTAAGAATATTATGTTTTTGTTTATTAATAAAATTTTGATTTTCAAATGTTTCTTTTATAGGAAGCGTTACTACAAATGTATGAAGAAGGCCGTGCATCACTTATAAAACAATATGGCACTATTCCTGCATCAATTGTCACTACCGCCACTAGAGTTGAAAAGAAAATTGAAGTTGAACCAAGAACTAAAGCCAAAGAAGAAGTTGATAAATTAGTCAAAGAGTTTGAAGATAAAATTAAAATTGAATCTGAATTTTCTGAAGAAGTTGATCAAATGATAAAAGAATTCGAAGAAAAAACTAATTTAAACGAAATTAAGTCTGTTGATAAAGAATTATTAAATGAGAACGAAAGAGATCCTGGCAAGGAGAAGGAGGGTGAGTTAAATGACAAAGATAATAAGGAAATTCTGGTTAAAGGAACCAATGAATCAGAAAAGGAAGGAAATATAGTGAATAAAGAAATTGAAGAGAAAAAAGTAGTAATTGAATTAAAAGGTGGAGGTATTACGGAAAAACTTTAAAAAAAAAGGGTTTTATGATTAGTATTATTTGGAAATATTTCATTATCCACATTTCTTTTCTTTTTCGCTAGCAATTATATTTATTTGCATTTTTTTCTCATTATTATTTTAATAATAAATTTACGCATTTGAAATTTTAATAAGGTAATTCGTAAATCAAGCTTGTGAAATATAAATATTTCAAAATATAAGTTTTCTCGATTTTTAAATTCTAGAAGTATAGGGACTACATAAAATAAGCCATTTTTCACGAGTTTACGATTTTATGATAAATTGCTACCTTTTTTAAAATTTAACTTTCAACATTCAACCTTCTAAAATATCAAAAAAATGCCACGACGGATAAAATGGACACAAGAAGAATTAGATGCATTAGAAAAAGGAATGAACGAACATGGGACTAATTGGGAGACCATATTGTTATTTTATGGTCCACCTGGTGGCCCTTTAAAAAATAGAAATAGTATACAATTAAAAGATAAAGCAAGGAATGAAAAAAGGAGGAGAGAAAAAGAAGGTTTACAACTTGGTATATTTGAAAAGGCTACTGGGTAAAGGTAAAGGTTACTTTTTCAAAGGAAATCGATTTTTAATGGTATACAAGTTAATTGAAATTAATACAGTATTTTCTTAAATATGAAATAAAACCAGAAACGCGTGCTTCACTGTTTTTTTTGGGTAAATAATTTATTTTTTATGAATTTTGGTTTTAAGACTTTTCGTGTTCTTTATTAGACCTAATATAACATTGCTAACACATCAAAATACATATGTATAATTGCACTTTCTTGCAAAGAATAATTGTATCTGATGAACAGCGCGTTTTCTAATACTTTATGGAAATTTGAAGGAAAATGTATTTTTATATTCTAGTAATTTGTGTTTAATTATTATTATGATTTAGTTCAAAGAAAGAGCAAAGTAATAATAAAGTTATTGACATTGGTTTTGGAATTGATTAATATAAGTTGATGGTCTGATTAAATAAGTAATCTAATTAATAAACTATTAATATATTAATAATGTTAATTAAAATAGATTTACCTTTTCTTACTTATTGAAATTGATTCAGTTAAAAAATAATTGAGCTGAAATATATGTATCTCACTTGCACTTTCTTTCATATTTTTTTCATATTTAGATATTTAATAAGTTAAAAACATCTTTTAAATATATCTAATTATTATTTACATAAAAGTAAAAAAAGGTTATAATAAGTGGATACCACTATATAATATAATTATATTATATGGTGGTATCCCACTTACCCTAGATTATATTACCACTATATAATCTGGATACCACTATATAATCTAATTATCACCATATAATCAAATAATATAATCTAATTACCATCATATAATCTAAATAATATAATCTAATTATCACTATATAATCTATTTATTTTTGCATATCTGGTATCTATTTTATGCTCTAACTATCCTTTTAAATCTTTCTTGCTATCTGCATTTTTTACCACCATATAATCTAATTACCATTCACCATTTAATCTAATTACCACATATAATTTAAATACAACGTTTTTCTTCTTGTTTCTAGAGTCATTTACATGCTAAATTCTATAATAGAGTTGTTAACCTTTTGTAGCTATTTGAATACTTGGTTTTATATTGAAGATGCTGACCTCCTGTACCTAATTAGATGTTGAATTTTATATTGAAATGCTTACTCTTTACGTCTATTTAGTTGCCTTTCTAGATGTCAAAATGTGATAAAAAAATATTGCATCAGATGATGCAGTAAATTGTATTTAATTTTGGCTAACACTATGCTATAATTCTGATTAATCTTTTAAAGATACGATTTGAGAATCCAGTTTAGCAATATGATGATATCATGATAGTGTTATAGAATTATTATAAAACTATTGAGAAACTAGCATAGAACTAGAGTAGTTCTATTAGTTTGCTAGTTTCAAACCACCTTTATATCAGCTTTGGATACTGAATTATTATATTTAAAGATCTGGCTGAATTTATGGAATAGTACTAGCTGAAATTATTATAATTTACTATATCTACTGTATCAGTCATGTGACTTTCACTGACCCATAGATCAAAGAATTCAAAACGTAAATGTAAAAATATTGCTGATATTTACAGTTATTTTAGACAGTATATCACTTATTACATTATATATACTTTAACGAGGATCAGAAACACATTTATTTTGTTGTATATGCTTATATATATTATAGCTGTAGATAATATTCAGGATCTTGATCAAAAACTGATCTAAAAATTTAGCGTATGATTTTACAATTATTATCTAAATCTATATAATTTATAGTAATATTCTTTTTGTAAATATGATATATGTATTTTAATGACGAATCACATATAGGTTTTATTCTAATAATTTACTCTTATATGTCTTGTATTCTGAAATTCTGATAAAATGATACATAATTATAATTTTAATGAATACTATAATATTTAGGATTTTATAGCCATTTTAACATATCAAGCCAAAATGCATCTTTAACAATTATATAGTCTTACTGATATAATAATTTCTTAATAAATATGTATGTTGTAAAAGATAATCATTACTATAATTAAGCTTTTTTCTCGTATATCCAACTATTTTTTGCTAAAAAGCAATATTTCTTATAGCAAATTTATTCTGAATAATAATATCCTTTATTTTCATATCTAAAAACTTCATATCGTAAGGAGTATTATCATTTCTAATGCCTCTTAAACTTTTTTTTGCCAAAGATTCAGATCTTTTCTTATAATTTCTGTAAACTCACTAGATAACTAATGCATATAAATTCTCAAACTGATAGTTATATTGTCTTGCAATCAAAATCCCTAAGAACGTTTCATTAATTTTTCTGAACTTCTTGAAAATTACTTTATTAAAATAGTTATAGATTAGAAAATCTAAACCAGAATAGATAGATCATACACAGCATCTTTGGCAAATTTTTTATAAGCGATCATCTATATAGATTATATAGCTATTTATTTTGCAAAAAAAATATATTATGAATAATTTATATATCATACTTTTAGCTAAATATTATTAAGATAAATAATGTTAATATTTAGTTAGAATATATTAAGTCTATCTCCTTCCTTACATTTTTGCATAGAATCGAAATATGCTTTAGCAAGATTATTTAAACTAGTTCTGCTAAAAATTTCAGATGCATTTACACTATATTACATTAATACAACAGAGTTTCGTAATAATAGAAAAGAAGTTGGCCTATTTAGTGCTTTGAATTTTTAGTTCAACATGTAATGAAAAATTGTCAAAACTATTTTTTGTCTAGCATTAAAAATATAAGCTGGCATAGTATTTTTTGCTATAGTCATTTTAGCCTGCACATAAGTTTTATAGCCAATTGAATGAGTATAATAATCATATGATACTGATGCCAATTTATCCTTCTTTGAGTATAAAAGAGATTGGAATGAAAGCAATCCTTCAGGATTAAGCTTTAACTAAAGATATTTCATTTCAGCCTTTTCTTATAATATATATTGTTTATATTATCAGATTATAAATTCTCTTATATTAATAGATTAAAGAATTTCTTTTTTTCTTACATGTTCATTTAAAATAGTATTTCCAGAAATACATCTCTTCAAGTAGTTATCTTAATTGTGAAAAAGATTTATATACTCTTTAGATATAAATTTTAAAAAGCGCATATACTACAATATATATAATTTATTTTTCTTTCACTAGGATAGAACTCTTTACCTTCTTCATATAACTTTCCATATATTCTAATATATTTATTCTTAGAAAAGATTCTTAGATTCTTTTCTAGTATTTTTCTAAATGGATTACAAATATAAGAGTATCACATTTCTAGTGTTTCATGATCATGTCTCATTGCTAAAAGATTTATTGCATTACTTATTCTTCTATATTCTTCAAAATTTATATCACTATAGCTTACTCTAATAGCTTAGAATAGACTTTACTATCTAAATCCATATTAGAATTTTAGTAGATTATAATAGATTATAAAACGATTTTATTGATTTTATAGTGTTTTATCAATTTTAGCTAATTTAGTAATATTATACTCTAATAAATATCAGATTTATTTTTATTTGATTATTCAGGTAAAAACAGATTCATAATTTTTTCTCTGATATTATTATTTAGTTAAATTAAACTCGATTACTATAGACAGCTAAATTATAAAATTTGTATTACATATGAACTCACTAAATCTTTACCAGTTTTAGAATAAATTCAGACGCTAACGAGTTTCTATAAATCATGAAATAATTAACCAATCAGATGAACGAATAGTAAAGAAAAAAAAGTGTAATTTTATATTCATATGCATGTAGATTAGTTTGCAAATCCCTCATGATTGTATATATTATTTTATTTATTTGATAAGCGCTTATACTGCATTTACAGATACATAGTTTAAAAAAAGAAGAAAGGCCCAATATAGATAAAAATACTTTATTACATATGTTTGAAATACAGCTTATAAGAAAATACTGTTTTTCTAATTTTTGAGCTAGAATACTATGTCATCAGAACGCAGTAAAATAAAATACAAAGCATAGTTTATTAGATAACATTTATATTGAATAATGATCATAAAAACAATTAAAAATAAAGTAAACTTTATTAATATATGCTTGAAAATTACATGTATAAGAAATGCTAGTTTTTCTAAGAAAATTCTAAATATCTTTTAGACTTTTTTCATTCTTTTTTTTTAAAGTATCATAGTAAATAATTTAAAGCAAGTGGTAAATTTGTTTATACATAAGAATTAGCAATTATTTCATTGATTATATGCTATAATTGAATAATACATATATAGATTAAATTCTTTCTTATAAAGCATCTAAACTAAAATGGATAGCTTCAGTAATAATCCCTAGTCTTATTTACAAGTTTCCTAAACTTCAGAATGCAAAGAATGTCTTTTTAAGTGTTATTTTATTTGATGGAGGACTTAAAATACATAGTTTAGTATATAAATTATTAAATGATTTGTAAAGGATCTCTTGTATTCCTAGAAACAATTCTATTTCATTAACAAAAGCTGATATTTCTTTAATTGAAGCTGAAAATGTAACTTATCCAAAATGAACTATAGTATACGGTATATCTCATGAGTGAAATTCATGATGTAATAATCAAGTTTAAAGTCTAACAGAAGCAAAAGTAATTTAAAATTTAAAATAATTACGTGACAAAAAAGCATGCTATATCAAACTTCTTACTAACACATTGAAAGCCTATTATTTTTATATCTGTGCCTTTGTCCATAGTTGAATTTAAAGAATCTTTCATAAAATCTCTAAGACATATGAAATTGTTACAGTTTTTATATATGGGAGTGTTTCTAGGAAAATCAGGTTCCGAGAAATTTTTGATTAAAATTAAGAGCTTAATACATTTTAATCT